GTAGCAGGAATATAATGCAAAGCAAGCCTAACCTGGGGCTGGAAATGATGATGGCACAGTCAGAGGAAGGATATCTGAAAGAAGTTCATTTAACAGTTAATTGGTTTGTATATATACGTAAATATTTCTGTCATGAAAATGAAAGTATCTGAAAAATATAAAATCCACTGAAGATATGACTAAGAAATTGTTTGCTTTGTACTCCTGTGATATTTTGAATGCTTAATATGTTCCTTATAGTCTTTGGGATTCCTACACAATTAGGTAAAAACCAACTAAACCTACTGTCATTCAGTCCATTTTGACTCATAGAGACTCAATAGAACAGAGTGGAACTGCTCCTTTTAGACTTCTCAGACTGTAAAACTTTATGGAAGCACCGCTGACCTGGAGATGAGAGAGAGAAGAGGAGGGGCTGGTTGGTCTGATGTGTGGTGAGACCTGGGGACCCCTGAGCCGATGGACAAGGACATTGCCACGGAGGGCTAGAGCTGACGTGAAGCATCCAGCTGATATGAAGTGAGAGGAGACGCACAAGAACACCCGAACTTGCAGACAGTACCCATTTTACCTAGCCTCCATGACTTGATGATCAGAAGTTGACTAGAGGAAGATAAATAATTTTTGATAAAGGAAACAAGTGTAAATTGCTACAATTTGATGAACTTGACCTATACTCATGGATGTAGTAGCTAGAAATACCAACTGAAAGGGAAGGAGTCATCACATGAAGTATCAATCCTATCCCCTCTATATACAGGGTAGATAGGGACAGCCAACTTAGACATTGGCTACCTAAAATGAGGGAGCAATAAAGGCATGAAGTGACTGGCTTACAAGTTTTTAAGAGGGAGTTTAGTTTAAGAGTGCCCACTAAATAGTTCTCATCTTGTCTAAATGGGTCTGGTGAAAGGAGATGGGGATAAGACTCTTATGATTCAATAGTGAGTTACTGTTATCATGACTAATTGTGACTGTTACAACTGTAAAGGTAAAGTTTTATAACAAAAACAGGGGAGTAGTTAATCTATAGTCCAGAAACAGAGGACCCTAGGACCATCAAGGGAGAAGAACACGAGCAGAATGTGGGACCCTATCCAGCGACACCAGAGATGGAGGAAGAGATGAGGACATGGAGAGAAAGAGCAGCTGAAGACTCTAGACTCATGGAAAGAGAAAAACTGAGTGCTGGCGGCCAGGAGGCAGGCTTACAGAATATGCCATTTGGTTGTTTAAATGATTATATACTCCTGCGTGTTTTTGTGTACATCCCCTTCCCCTCCACCGCTCCCCCCAAAAACACAGAGGGAATAGAAGCAAATGCTGTTGAATGATGATGCATGGAGATTGTAATCACTGCAATGAAACAATGGTATAATACCAAATGTTCTCCTGTAAACTATCACTCAATTCACAACAAAAACTTAAAAATCTTTATGGGATTAGACAGCCTCAGAGATGCTGGAGGGTTTGAATTGTTGACCTTCCAGTTAGCAGCCCAATGCTTAACCCACTCCCCAAACAGGGCTCCTTACATGATTGGGTGGGGCTATGTAAATAAGTTGCTGTGGTTGACAAAGGGGATTAGACAGCTTGCTGCTAATGCAAGTAAGATAGACAGAACCTGTGATGGTTAAGGCTATTTGTCAACTTGGCTGGGCCATAATTGTCAGTTGGCAGTTATGTGATAGTGTGATTTGTCAGTATGTGATGATATTGTCATCCTCCATTTTATGGTTTGATATAATGGTCCTCCATATTGTGATGTTGTTGTTCAGAGTAGGACATTATCTTGAGTCATTGCCTTAATAGTGACGGTACGACTCAAGTTACCAATCTTAACCAAGTCACCACCTTTACCACTCTTATTTAAGTCATATCCTTGTACTGCGTTGCTCAAATAGGGGTTGTTTCCCTGAGTGAGTGGTTTCCATTCTATATATGAATGCACTGGCAAAGTTCCCTCTCTTGCTCTGGATCCTGCATCCAGTTCAGCATCAGCTGATCTCCAGATACTGAGCCAGCAACCTATCACCTAATTTGATTTGCCAGCATCTGCAGTCTTGAGAGTCAGTCTGTTATACAATCTTCTAATTTTGATTTATCAGCTCCTGAAACCATTTGAATCTGGAGAAGCCTCTAGCCTAAAGTCTGCCGCATGGACTTGGGATTTGCCAGCCTCCACATCATGTGAGTCATCTCCTTTATACTTTGTGATTTCTGTGACTGCAACAAATTATGGAACCCAAAGAATGAAGGGCAAGTACTTAGGAAAGGAGAAGTAGGTGACATTAAGAGATAATGGATTAGTACAGCAGGTTGGAAAAGCTATTCATCTGGACATCTTTAACCTCTTACGAACCACCATTGTGCTGATCTTTATAAATTATTCAACTTCTTAAAAACATAACCTCACATAAACATGTCCTTATGTTCAGTGAATAAAAATTAAAAGAAAAATCACCTGCCTGAATAACCTCTATCTCTTGAGATAATTTTGAGCATAAGATTCCTATTTGGGGGAGTTAAATTTGGTAGTGCCAACTGAAATTACTTGTCCCAGACATAACTGTTTCCTGAGTGCTAGAAGGAAACAAAAGAGGTTCTGGTAAAACCAAGAAGTTTACTAGTTGCAATAACAGCATGGGGACCATTTATAACTTCCTCTGGCTTCACAAAAAGAAAGGAGAACCAAGATCAAAATCAGGCCAAGGCCTTCTTTGCCACTGGTCCCCTCGCCTCTGCACCCGTCTGCTCTTCGCCTAGCCAAATCACCCCGCTGAGTTACCACCACCACCTGCAGACATGTCCGAGACTGCGACCAGCCCCTAGTATGCCTCCTTTTTCACCGTCATGAGCGCCTCAGCTGCCATGGTCTTCAGCGCCCTGGGTGCTGCCTATGACACTGCCAAGAGCGGCATAGGCATTGTGGCCATGTCTGTCATGCAGCTGGAGCTGATTATGAAGTCCATCATCCCAGTGGTCATGGCAGGATCATCACCATCTATGGCCTGGTGGTGGTTGTCCTTATTGCCAACTCCTTGAATGACAAGATGTCCCTCTGCAAGAGCTTCCTTCAGCTGGGTGCCAGCTTCAGCATGGGCCCGAGTAGGCTGGTAGCCAGCTTTTGCCAACACCCTGGCTTTTCATAGGCATGATGCTGATCCTCATCTTCCCTGAGGATGGACCTCTACGGCATCATCGTGGCCCTCATTCTTTCCACAAAGCAGCCACCTCCACGCCTAGGCAATACGAATCCGATGTAAAGACCACACCCTCCTCATTCCAGAACAAAGAGCCTGACACACAGGCTGGGAGCCGCAGACCACCAACCCCCCTCCAGTAGTTGGTCTTGTAAATGCACAGTGTCTTGGTGCCCATCGTCTGTTGCCCGCCTTGCCCCAGGCCCTGCCCCATGCTGTGAACTTCCGGGCCCATTACTCTCCCATGGGCCCTTCAGTGAGGAGCTGGCCCCGCTGACCCCAGGGTGCTCTGTGTCTAAGGATGAATTAGATGCGTCATTTTTCTCTTCAAAAAAAAAAAAAAAATCAGGCCAAGTCCTATGATGAGGCAGAAGCCAGACATGCCTCCATTCTACAACCTTCTTTGCCCTCTCTGATACCAACCATCCTTCCCACAGCACTTTCTGCTTCACATCTGGGTTCCACAAACTGTTGCAATGGCTACCCAGAACTCATAGACAATACTCATGATTACGGGGTTTATTAAGGAAGGAAGTAAACAGGTACAACTCAGGATGCAGCAATTCCCCAGTCAGGAAGGCCTCTTCTCTGCTGTACTGCAGGCATGTCTTGCTCTTGTCTTTGACCTCTCAGCCATGTGGTCCTTTGGCCTTTGTCCAGCTCAGGCAAGTGTTACAAAGCTCCTTAATCCAATCTGCAAGGCAGCCTGCTGCCCATAGGTACTCAGTTTTACTCAGTCTATAGGCCAGAAAGCCCACAGATGCTCTCTATCTCTCCATGCCACCACCTCTGTAGCTAACGCTTCTCAAGTTCCGCTCATGGCTCTTCTTTCTTGATGAGTCCTGGGATCATCTGTTTCTGCTTCTCAGACAGTTCCTTCTACACCTAGAGGAATAGCAAAACTAACCAATTCTGGCATTAGAGTCCTGTACACCCTATTTTCATGGTCCAACCCAATCATTTGGTGTGAGTTAAGAAGACTTACGACAGAAAAGTAAATTCACAGTACCATGCTAGTCATGTTTGAATTACAAAGTACCACTCCATTAAAGCTCCCTCTCCACTCACAAAATCAAACCAAACAAAAAACAGGCACTGAAAAGGTCGAGGAGAAAGGAGAACTCCAGTGATCACTCCTTCATATACGTGCAAACAGAGAGAAGAGCTTCTTACTGCCACTGTCTGGAATTCTATACTGGAGAGTCTGGACTGGGAGAGAAAGACAGTTTCCACAAAAAGGAAGTGAAGGACACAGAGTGGGAAAACATCAATGCAACCAGTTACATCTCTGCTCTAAAGCTGCAAGTGAATTTTGGGAGGATGAAGCCTCAAAGTGAAGAACGTTTCAGGAAAGGCAGCTTAGATCTTGATTAAAAAAGAAAAAGGACAGTTTTATAACTACAAGCTAGGATGAGTCAAGAGGTTATCTTAGGGTGGAGGAAGGAAAACAGATGTGGGTAACTAGTTTAACAGTGTAAGTAGAAATGGGATAATACCAAACACTTTTCTCTGCCTTAGAGTGGAGATGAAGAATGCAATGGTTTCCAGAAGCCTTCAATCTTTAGCATCACAATACACTCCAGTGTATCATCTTCCCATCCTGTTCTCCCATTCTCCCCTTGAGCAAGAGGAATGCCCTGCCCCAGTCCCAATCCCCTCCATGTACAACAAATTACATTGTAAAATGGCTACAAATCTTATGTCAGCACTTACCTTTTTGAAAAACTAGATTAAAAATCCAGTGTACTGCAAGAGGCCCTGACAATGTCCCAAAAGCCTGTCACTAAAACACTGTACCTGATAGATAGCTTCATCACAAGCATTCTGAAGACCCAAGTTCACCATCGTGTTCTGCAGCGTCCGACCCATGTAGAATTCCAGGGAAAGATAGTAAATGCGCTGAAGAAACAAAAGAAAGAATCTTAGAAACCTTATTTCCTCCTCACACGTTAGGAAATTAGGGATAATGAGCAGGTACATAAGTACACCCATTTACATTTCATTTATGTAAACACCATACTTAGTCTGTTGTTGCTGTTTAATGCCTTCGAGTCAGTTCCTATTCATAGCGAGCTTACACAGGGTTTCTGAGGAGCAGTTGGTGGATTTGAACCACTGACCTTGGGGTTAGCAGTCCAGTGCTTATTATCCTACAGTGCCACACCACAACTCTTACCTTACACAATCCAAATAATGGACTCACTCACTTCCATGTGCCTTTGCTAACCTAAATCCAAAGGTAGCACACCCAAGGGATATCCGTTGAACACAGCATTTACTTCACTGACCTTGATTGCCTGAATGGATATAAACCAACCTTTCCCTGATGTTTGGGAAAGTGTTTAGGTCTCCTAAAATTGGAGAGACTCAATCTGGGCCTAATAGAGCCTCTGACCAGCCATGTGCCATTAGGTAAATTTCTGTATCATATCGCTGAACACAGGATAAACAACTCTATATAAGGTAGGAAATATTTCCAAGTATCAAAGATAAAGCCCTAAACACAGGGTTTGCAATGGATAGTAGCTACACCTCAGCCGTTGTTAAGGAGTGTCACTATGGGGAATGTAATGGGTTAGGTATTGGGCACACTGGGGAATGTAATGGGTTAGGTATTGGATTGCTAACCACAAGGTTGCCCATTCAAATACACCAGCTGCTCTGCAGGAGAAAGATGAGGCTGTCTGTTCCCATAAAGATTTATAGTCTCAGCAATCCTATATAAGAGTGCTATAGGTTGGAACTGACCTGATGGCAGTGGGTTTTGGATTAGCAGCCACTAGCTGAACAATTGAATGCTGCCATTTTCATGAGGTAGAGATCTGTTTTTTGCCTAATTCCTGATTGGCTTTTGAGAGGCAGGCATGTGATGGCTCTGCATATTTAAGGTGTTGGAATGATGAGAACCACCACTTGTCTGTCAGTTTGTCATACTGTGGTGGCTTGTGAATTGCTGTGATTCTGGAAGCTATGCCATAGGTATTTTAAATACCAGCAGAGTTACCCACAGTAGTCAAGTTTCAGATGAGTTTCCAGATGAAGACAGAGTAGGAAGAAGGAGAGATGAACTACTTCTGAATAGTCACTGAAAACCTTATGAACAGCAGAGAAACATCAGATATAGTGACAAAAAATGAGCCCCTCAGGGTGGGAGGCACTCAAAATGAAACTGGGGAAGAGTTGCCTCCTCAAAGTAGACTTGACTGTGATGACACGAATGGAATAAACCCCTCAGGAATAAACCCCTCAGGAGTAAAGCCCATGGGACCTCCATTTGCTGATGGGGCACAACTCAAAATGAAGAGAAACAGCTGTAAACATCTATTAATAATAGGAACATGGACTGTATGAAGTATGAATCTAGAAAAACTGGAAATTGTAAAAAA